CAAGGTATGTTAATAACTATGCTATAATTTTAAGGAAAAATTAATAGGATAGTTACCCAATAAAATCGAAAATGATGCAGTGTTGACAAGTTAAAGGTCTTATTGCTGTCCTAACTATAACGTTCCTTGTCAAAATTTAACGTAAATGAACCAATACGGCTCCATGTGATACTATGTCGTATTGTGTTAGAATTTAATTGACAGTACCTATAAGATATAGACATTGCATAACATTATTATAACGATAAGAAATTGAACGTAATAACTCGCTACGCTACTTAAAATAATGTACAGCACAACTGTGATTAGGGTCGGATGATATTAATTTTATGATTATTTGAATTAGGTTCTTAAAAAATGACAGGGATGGATGCGATCATACTAAAGGTGGATTTAGTATCTATGAATTATTTCTACCTAGCTACAGAATAAGACGAAAAAATGGAACCTTGGTATCTGTTATCAATATTATAGGCCTAGTAATAACTATAACCATCGGTTTATATCTTATTGGCGTACACTGGTATTGGCCACGTATAGACAATGACCAGGAGTGCATACACATGTTAAGAATGAATGATTCAGAAATTTTCGGACTGTTGTTCGTTTATATCTTGTTTACCTGGTACTCAACCCAAACTCCATCAAGATTAGCTAATTATTTCAGAATTGTAGGGATGCTTTATTTGGTACCATCTTTAAGTGTTATGACTCAATATGAAGAAAATCGTTTATCGCTAACCGAGATAGTTTCGATAGCACAAGGGCTTTTAAAAATTACTGCAATCGTGACGGCTTACTTAAATGAATTACAAGCAATTTATGAGTCACAGAGACAGGTTCTTCGTGAATATCAGCAATATTTAAATGAAATTCAGGAACAATTTCAGATATTTAAGACTTCACCAATCAACGAAGAATCTATATGCATTAAAATGATGGGAATAATATCGTCAGAAGACAAGAAAAGCATTGAGAAGATATTTAAGATTTCTATTAGTCTCGGTGATTTACTAAAAAAGCCTCCTCAGCCTGAGATTATGAAAATTAAGATTATGTATGATGTAATAAAGGACTATGACCGGAGCAATGTGAAGCTGCTAGTATTCATTGAAGATCGAGATATTTCTCACATCCCGATTGGAGAACAATATTTAGAAAGCCATGACCAGTTTAAAGCTTCTCTATGTAGCGAAAGTACATTTAAGGCAGCAGCTGCAAGTTTAGCTTCGAATTTGGAAGAAGAAATTAAATATGATAAATTTAGCATCGTAAAATTTCTAAGAAGCTATACCAGTAATTTTAAAGATACAATGTACCCTTCTGCAGTGATTGGACTTACTGCCGCTGTCTATATTCTCATGATAATACGTGACACAGCATTACCAGAGGTACATCGAACAATTTTTCAACCAGGCTTGGTCGCATATGGATGCACATTCTTGAGTCTAAGACTAATAATTAGTTTTTGGAAGAGTCGTATCGAATCGAATATGGCACTGAAGTTTCATAAAAAGTACGTTCAGAAAATTAAACGTAAGATGAAGCCGCCTTCTTCGAACCAAAGGGAAAAAGTTTAGATTCTATCTAACACTGCTTGAGTAAAGTCTGTGGTGCCATCATTGCCACCCAGGTCTCGGGTGGTA